CTCGAAAAGCAAAACACAACAACCGGACCGCGCATGAGGACCCATGGGGAAGAAACAAACCCCATAGCATGTTTTTATTAGGAAAAGGATGGAGGGGAAAAAAACGCCCAGCCCTCGCCTGAATCCACAGTGTAGTGACTTTTGAAATCCTAAGAAGAGGATGGTTCAAAAGTCATTCCATTCTTTTCTTTTTTTTAAAGATGGTTACAGAGTTTGGAAGTAGAGACAATGTTCATGGGTGAAACCACACTCTATCCTGCTTATGCCCAAATCAGGGAGGGTGGGATTCGTTTGAAAAACACGCCATCCGAAAGGGCTGCAGGCTGCATAAGAGTCAACACACGGCATGGATAAGCGGTGGAGAACTTCTTTGCCCTGGGTTTCATCCATTTACGGAACTCATTGCTACCAGCTAGCTTTGGCAGCTTTCAGAGGGAGGCAGAGAAATTCAGGAAGGGGGAACATCCATTAGCCATGAGGATTAGTGGAACCTCCAGCTTCAGGGGCAGTGCGTCCCCAAATATAGTGCAAATCAGGGAAAGGCAGCCGAGAGAGAAAGAGATGATTCTCACTCACAGCCCTCCTTCTGAAATCCCCGGCTGGCCAGCGAGTGCCAAACCAACAAGGGCTGCTGCTGGAGGAGGGGGATCTGCAGGGAAAGGCAGCCGAGAGTCCCAGCCCTCCTTCTGAAGCCCCCGGCCGGCCAGCGACTGCCAAACAAACAAGGGCTGCTGCTGGAGGAGGGGGATCCCTTTTTTTGGGGGGGGGTTCCTGAGAGGGAGGCTCCCCTTACATCCTCGTCCGCTTTCTTATCAGGGGCCCGCCGGGAGTCTGCCAGGCAGTAACTAACGCTGTCCCGACGTAACCCTGCTCGGTGCCCTGACCTCCTTCCTTCCTTCCTTCCTTCCCCGGCCCTGGACTCTGTCCTTCCTCGGGAGGAAAGGGCCGCCGCCCCCCCCCGCCGGAGATGACTCGCCACTTTCCCAAGAACGTGCGAGAGGAGGAAGGAGGACGCGCGTCGAGCGGGCACGTGTGGAGTGCGCAGAGTCTCTTTCCTGGGACTGGGCTGGTGAGGGTAGGGTC